GGGCCGAGGGGTCATAAAAAGTGGTGGTGGTCCTGCAGCAACACTTTGCACTTTGAAGGTGCGAAGTGCATACCAAATAATGGGACCACTCTAGACAGGCTATTCAGGGTTGATTGTGCCGCCTCAACATTGTCGAAACGCAAGACGATATCGTCCGCATAATCTAGATCAAATATCCTTTCACCAGGCAGCCTACATCGTGCGATTCCGCAAGGGGGCATTCCATGATAGAATCCACGACGAAATGGGGAAATCGAACAACCCAGACGAACGTCACTTGTGGTCGGAAAGCTATTCGATAGGACACCGTAGACCCTGACGCGGTCTGTAGTGTTCGAGTATAGAGCACGAAGCATGTTCACATATTTCGTGGGAACACCTTTCCGCGCCAGTATTTCGAACAGAATCGATCGATCGAGGGAATCGAACGCACTCTTGAAATCGAGGAACACAGCTATTGTCGATCTGCGGTATGCGTGGCGCTGCTCTAGCACTTGCCGCAAAGTGAATATATGGTCTATGCAACCACGTCCTGGGCGGAAAGCGGCCTGCTCATCCGTAATCCGAGATTCCCGTTCCGCAGTGAGGCAACGAACGATAATCGAGGCCAGTAATTTTGTCACAACTGGCGTTAGGCTAATACCCCTGTGGTTAGAACAGTCTGTGCGACTGCCCTTCTTGTATATTGCCACTATAATCGATTCGCTCCAATTAGCCGAGACAGTTCCTTCCAGGTACATTCGAATAAGGTCAGTGCTTTGCAGAGGACCTCACCTCCATCCTTAAATAGTGCAGGTGGGAGGGAATCCGGGCCAGCGGCGCGAAAACGATTGAGGGCTGTGATCGCGTTTCGGACCTCGGCGTCTGACGGAGGCTCTAAACTAACCGTCTCTGGCTCGTCCTGCGACACAGAAAATATCTCTAGTCTACAGTTATGAACGGTTGAGGACTACAATGCCTATAAGGTACAGCGAAATCGCTGCGACGTCGCGAAAACAAGAAAACGCAGAAACTTCGAAGAGGAGCTTGCAACCGCCGCAAAAACTGCTCCCAAGGGGATCTTTGCATACGTGAAGCGGCGCCTGAGGCCTGTTGCCAATGTCCCAGTGTTAGAAGGCTCCGATGGACAGCCCCTAACCTCGAGTACAGATCGTGCGTCCGCATTGGCGACGCACTTCGCCTCCGTATTTGCAAGTGACCAGGTGTCTGTAACGGGTTCGACGAGTACCGCTCCAGCTGAACTTAACAGCCTGGACTGCAATATTGAGGATGTGCGCAAGCTTCTAGCAAATCTTGCCGGGACAAAGCCTGCTGGGCCAGATGGTATACACCCACTGATCCTCAAGTCCCTATCGGCCATCATCGCGCCTTCTTTAACTGAACTGTTTAACAGGTCACTATCTACTGGACTGTTACCAGACGACTGGAAATGCTCAGTCGTAAAGCCTATACCGAAAGGTGGTAACCCAAGTAAAGTGCATAACTACCGGCCGATCTGCCTGACTGCTGTTTTGGCAAAGACGCTCAAGAAGATCGTGAAGAAGAAACTTCTGCAGCTTCTCGAGTCGAAAAACCTGTTGACCTCCCCACAGCATGGTTTCATGAAAGGTCGCTCGTGCATCACCAATCCTACTGCTGACAAGGCACGAGTAGTTACAAGCGATGAACCAAGGCCATTCAGTCGATGTCATTTACATTGACAAGGTCATTTGACAAGGTCAACCATGCAGTGCTCCTTGACAGACTGAGGATATACGGTGTTGGTCGTTCGCTACACAAATGGATCAGAAATTTCCTTATTAATCGAAAGTGGAGAGTCCAGGTGGACAACCATCTAACGGACTGGTATCCATCGAGCAGCGGCGTGCCCCAAGGCACTGTACTGGGGCCGATATTGTTTCTGATCCATGTAAACGATGTGCCTAAGCTACTCCAATCACCATGTGCGTTGTTCGCAGATGACTTGAAGGTGTGGAGAGTAATCCGCACACTCAATGATTGATTTACTTCAGCAGGATCTCGACTGCCTATCCATGTGGTCTGCAGAGGTTAACCTTCCGATCAACCCTGCTAAGTCGCAATTCATGAGGTTGGGTAAATGCGAGCACAGCCGAACGTACACAGTGGCTTGTCAACCGCTGCATCCCGCGTCTTTCGTGCGCGACCTCGGTGTGCTCTCACGCTGCGACCTAAAGTCCATTGACAATACGAATAGGCTGTACCAAAACAGCCTTCGGATGCTTTGGGCTCTCAGGCGCAGCTTCAGCACTTGGTCCGAAGAGATTGCCACTCGCCTCTTCGTCTCGAGAATACGACCAATGATAGAGTACGACTCTCCCGCATATTGTCCCATCACGCTGGGCGAGGTAGAAAAGCTTGAGCGGGTGCAGCATGTAGCCACTAGGCTGATTCCCAACTTACGAGATATGCCATATGAAGACCGATGTAAGAAACTAGGGCTGTACACCCTAGCATATCGTCGGCTGAGGGTTGACCTAATCGTGCCGCACCGGATAGTACATCTGATTACCCCATGTTGAGACAACTGCTTCATCTGCGCACACCAAGTAGCACGCGAGGACACCGATACAAACTTATCGTACCGCATTTGAAGCGGGTAGCTCACCAACTCTGTTTCGAACGTAGAGTGGTGAATACCTGGAACAACCTGCCTCAGCCGGTAATAGAGGCAAATTCAGTGGCCGAATTTAAGAAGCTTCTAGACAAACACTTTGCAGAGGCAAAATATAGAGAGCGGAACGATAATTAATACGTTAATGTCCAAGAGAGACAATTGATGCAGATACACAGAGCATGCTCTACTCGCTGCTTCCAATCAGTATCATCTGAGTAGGAAGAGGTCCGGGAGCAGGGGGCCAGCCGAACTGATCTTGAAAGTGTTCCGCCCAACGAGCCATACGGCGCTCCTTATTGTGTATCAGTGCATCCGTGCTGTCTCTGATTGTCTCACTGACGCCTGGTTTTCTGGGACCAGTGGTGCGGATCAGCTGGAAGGGCTTGCGGTAATTGCCTACTGCTCCTGCTTCCTCCATTTCTTGAGCCCGACTGGTCCACCAGGCTTCCTTGTCAGCACGTAGGCTCTGCTTTAGTTCACGCCTAATAGCCCCTCTGGTCACATTGTGTTCACTGCCAGTTGGGCGATTTCTTCTATATTCCAACAGGTTCACCGACCACTTGGAGATCCAGTGACTAGTGCCGTGACGATGGATAGTGCCACATGCAGATGCTCCTGCGTCGTGCATGGCGGCCGAGATCCTATTCCACTGAAGCTCAGTGTCATTAGGACAAGGCAGCGGAAGTTCGGTATGCAGTACTTCTTGATAGGCTTGCCTGACCGAGGACCGAGGACTGAGACAGTTTCTCAGTTTCCAGTCGGGTGGAACGCTTTGTGCGCCTCCCGGTAAAGTTCATGGAGAAACGACAACGTACCAAGGCATGATCAGAGTCGACACAGGTTCTGAAGAGCTCAGACGCCCTACTTGTGCGTTCATATCCCCTGCAAGTACTATAATATCTGAACTAGTAGCACTGCGTAGTAGCACATTCAGTTCATGATAGAATATGTCCTTGACAGCATTTGAACTGCAGTCGGTGGGAGCATAAGCGGAAATCACAAACAAACAGCGTTTTGTACTACTTCGTGCATCAACCTTAGCTGATGTCGTCAAACGGGCTGCACATAAACAGCTGTTCACCGGTATCCAATCAACCAACGATGGCTCAGCCTTGAAGCTTAGAATGATACCTACACCAGCTTGACCCGTGAGTGCTGCATCGGCGTCTCCGGATTGGTGCAACCAATAACGAGAGGATAAGCTGGGTGCAGTTAATTCAATAACCCCGTTAGGGTAATTGATCCTAGTTTCGGACACAACACACATCAATACTCAGTGTGTCCAAGGTGCTTGCGAGTGCTGCCTGTTGACCTGTTTGTCTTAGAGTGCGGACGTTGAATGTCGCCATGGAAACTGGATAGCGTGGCCTTATAATGGAATTTTGCCGATAGGTGCTGTGGGATGGTGGCTGCAGATGGTTCTACTCCACTGGCACTTCGATTGCTGTCAATTGTGCTGGGGATTATGGAAGGAAGGTTATTAATGGGGGTCGGGATGGGAGTAAGAGAAAAAGATGGAAAAGAACTAAGGGAGGCGCCAGCAGTAGCATGTTTTCGCTTATCCGCCCTGCTGTATGCAGCAGATAAGACGACCCTTGATAATCTGCGCGACGGTCCATGCAGGATGAAGTTTATGTTTGAAGAAAATGTCATGGTTTTATGTGGGCTGAGATACTGCCGGGACGCCCAGACCTAAACAGGAGGACGATTAGGGTCCTCATCCAAAGCCTTTGGCTCAAGAGCCTGTCCGCAAGGCAGCTTGGGGTTGGCAATGATTTAGTTTAAAGAAATTGAGGACATTCAATTTCAACCCCCAACCTGGAGGACCAGGAGACTGAGTTTTTTTGACCTCTTACCATTGCCCAACCTGGTAGTAGTGTCTCTCAAGGTGCCCGTAGGCACCACCCAGTATAGCTCAATTTGTCAATGAGGTACGCAAACCGTCGCACCACGTTAAGTTACAGCCTCGTTGCGACGAATGGTGAATTACTAGCTCAAGTTTATCCGGAAAGTTCGTGGCATTTTATTAAAATGGGAATGTTTGCTTTGTTCTCCTCTATCAACCTGTCAGGCCTCCCTCGAAGTGTTCTCCTGAAGCAACATGTGAGGTCTGGGATCTGAGGTGCTGGGATCTGTAGCTCAAACGGTCCAGACAATCATACAACTTCTGGGATCAGTATGTCACCCACTCGATGCTCGTAGTCGGTGTTGTTCCTTGGCATATAGAAGGAAATCGATTGAACGGATCCTTACTCGTACATTGTTTACTTCTGGCTCATACTGTTACGCATGCAGACGAGTGTGGGTGATCCAATTTTTTTGTGTTCATCGATTTTGCGTTATTACAGCTTTTTACTTCTCGTAGGCAACTGGTTCAATATTGGGACAAATTCTACACCGGCAACCCTTCCGAAAAATTAATTTTCGTCCCATTGTGTGGGAAGTCAATTGATCTACGCTGGCTGTACTGTGAAAAAGGCTTCAGTGTTGTCGGATGTGATCTGTCAGAGACTGCTCTCTTGGCTTTTGTGACTGAACACCCAGATTTGGCCATGCAACGAACGGAAGTCCTCTTCAAGAATGGCGAACGCATTTCCATGTTTCATGTGAGTTCTACTTGACGCGGCGCGCCTTTCCCTTTATCCGCACCCCATCAACTCTGCTTTTTATTTTACCAATTGTGTGACGAATATTCGTTTCGATAAATTACTTTAGGCATGTGCAATTACAAAGCATAATTATGACCCAACTAAGCTCGTGCAAGCATTGTCAGGGTTGAATAAGTGAATTTAGTAGTAACAATACGGGTGTTCAGCTGGTTGGCCAAGCAGCAGAAAATTGCTATCATGGTCTGTTTAATCAGACCAAGCAGCACGTGCAAGCACACGTGACCAACGCTGGACGATTAAGGTTAGAGGGAGCTAATGGCCAAGGCAACCAAGGCTTGTATCAGGGTCCATTGTTTGCACAGTTCTGGTTTTAAAACCCAGATTGCAATGGTGATGACCAATAGATTTTTCTTGAGATTTGTTAGCGTCTTGGGATGGTATGGACAACTTTAAGGGACTCATCCATTCAAATTTGATTATCACTTTTAACCACATGTTGTAGAATAGAACTGTTGATGTTATTCATCGTGCGTTTTCATTTTAGACCCCCGACAAGCGTCTCCGACTTTATCTTTGTGATCTTTTCATCATGGACCAGTAAGCTCTAACAATTGTCGCTAATGAATTCACCCGTTTCTTTGCTGCATACCCATTGCATTTCCTTATCATTGTATCTCCGTTTCTTTGCCCCATATTACACTGAGCTCGATGTGTTTTTCGTCACTTATCCCCAAAGAGGATTTCAGTGTAGGACAATTCTCCATGTCACGCATATCAGTTAGGAGAAGAGGTGAATCCAACTCTCAGTCGCAGATTTATTTTACCTGTTTCACTGCGGTTTTATCTTGTCTGTGCTTTTGTGAGAACAATACTACTTTGTTTATGAACATAACTTGAATTCCAACTACCGTTCTGCCGAGCACGAGCACCCATTAACAGGTGTGTACTAATTGATTCAACCTACTTCTTGTGCATATGCAGCATGAACAATTCTGGGTTATGCAGTGTTTGTTGTTGTTGTTGTTTCCGCTGCTGTTTGTTTGTCTATATACTGTTCCTTTATGTTGTCTACACAAGATGTAGGCGCATTGACCCTGAAAATTTGCTTAGGACATTAAGGTTTTCATGTAAGTCCCCCTTCTCTCCCTCCTATTATTCTTTATTTCATAGACCATCATAGTTGTATGCTAGCGAAGCATCAGTTCGAATGACTAATGTACTGCTGTTGATGATGATGCTCCTGCGTACCGTTTATCCACCGGACTAGTACAGCGTGAGCTTAGGAAGTTGTCGGTGCTATTTTCCTTATCGTACTAACCTTATGTACACTTCGACCGAACCTTCGGCAAACTTCATCTCGTACCTTGCAGGAGGAATTGTTTCTCCGGAATTCGACCTGAGCAACATTTCTTAATTTGTAGCTTCCTTTTAAAAACTGGTTTGGCGTGACAGCTAGCTTTACGTTTTCTGGCAATTTTTCTGCTGAACCGCTTAGCAAAAGCTCGAGGTGCTTTTGCCAATCTCCGCCACCTGTGGCGCAGACGCGACATTACTCTCGCCCTCAAGGGCAGAGTTTACAACGCAGCCGTCCGTTCTACTCTCTTATGTGGTTGTGAAACCTGGCCCATCAGGCCGACTGACATGAAGAGGCTTGTCACATTCGATCATCGCTGCCTTCGCAGCTTGGCTCATGTCTGGTGGGAACACCGCGTGAGCAATGAGCGTGTTCGACGTCGTGTATTTGGTGCAGGAAGAGCGAGTGAACTGTTCAGCACCATTATACCACGCACAAGGCTCCGATGGCTGGGCCATGTTTTGCGCATGCCAGCACACCGACTCCCGCGACGTGCATTGTTTGCGCGTTGTGGGTGCGGTTAGAAGAGGAGGAGGGGAGGCCAAGTGATGACTTGGTCGAGAGAAATGAAAACCCTCACTTCGAAGTTGGCGTCGGTTGATGCATCCCGACTGCCTGGCTGGGGTCCTAAGGACGGTGAACACGTTTGGTTGGACACACTTGCTGATATGGCTCGGAGCCGGCACCAATGGCGTTTGTGTTGTGATTTCCTTTGCCCATCCCCCTCCTGTTTAGTATCCCCCTCCAATCACGATCTCACCTGTTAGGCATAATATGATTCTCTTTTTACGGCAGCCAGCTGTTAGCTCTCCGGAACGATGTCCATCCGTTACTGGGGACTCAGCGGGCGTGCCACTGTTTTCCTTTTATTTTGTATTGCGGCACAATAGCTGAGGTGTTTTCCACCTCCAGCTAACGTGTAATGATGATGATGATTATTCCTCCAGATGATCACTATGCTCATGACTGATATTCCAGCAGACTTCAGCCGCACTCCGTAGTGTGGTCAAGTGCAGAGTTTTTGATGCTCTTGTTTCGTTTGCCGTCCGAGATATGCATTGTTCTACACCTTCATTTTCACAGATCTCAGGAGGGACCATTCAAATACATCTGGGACAGAGGCTCTTTGGTTGCTGTGGACCAATCACTGCAAAAAAGGTTAGTTTCATGCTCCGATTCCGTTTCTATCATCATTACCTCGCATTTATTTTACTGGTGTGGTGATAAGTTCTGCGATAGTAGCTGGTTATCTTCGAGGCGGGTGTGATTTTCACAGAATGTTTGTTCATGCAGGTCACCTGACAGGTGAATTTCATCCCATGAAGTGTGCACCAGTTTATTTTCACATCAGCTTATTCAAAAAGACCAGCGGGCTTCCTGTTTATTCTCTTCTTCACAACGTATGTTGTTAGATACGTGGATTTCGTGAGCACTCTCATCACACCTGACGCTCGCTGGCTGCTCGAAACGCTTAACTACCCAGAAGGTATACACGATGGTCCACCGTGTCGCATTCCAGATGAAGAGTGCACCACTTTGTTCGGTGAGTTTTTCTCCTCATGTGTGCACAGTTTTCATACTCTTATTCCCATTCGTCTTGTGTTTGGTAACAACCGATGCATCAAGAAGCTTTCGTTTTTGATAAACTCGTCGCCTTGTGAATCCAGCTTGCACTCGTATGACTTGTAGGCGTACATGGGCATAATGAGCCGGGGTTTGCGTAACTGCCAGGTGCTAACGACTATACGGGTAAACAGTAGTCACAACGTTAGCCCAAAGGTGTTTATTTTGATATCAACTGGTACCTGTGCCAACTATGGTTATATTGATAACCATATACCAAGGTAGCTGTAAATGAAATGAAAATGATGAAATGAAATGTGTCAGCTTATACGCCGTAACGGCGCTTCGCTGCCGCGCGACCACCACCAGTCGCTCGCGGGCTGAGTATACCGCGAGGACGCCCAACCCTACGCGGATTCGAACCGGGGACCTTATGGTTGCAAAGCAAACGTGCAGACCACTTGGCCACCGGCCGACAGCTGTAAATGACTCTTCGAACCGTCAGCAATGCGACCGAGGGAGTTCCCGATTTGAAGTCGAATTCGATAAGAAAGCGAACTTTTGCATCAGCGAGCCAACCGGAAGAGGTAGCGCGCTTCATCTATTAAGCGCAAGTGAAGAATGTTTAAACACCCAACTGCCATTTGCCGCGTTTTGCTCTGACTGTTAGTGGGCGAGCTACAACCACTGAAGTGAGTACGTGTACGAGCTTCTCGTCGGGTCAGTATCAAAGTAACAATGAAAGAGCTTGAAGAAAAATGTGTGCGCGTTACAACATATTACTGCCAACTAGGAAAAACTTTCGAGGAAACATTTCAGTTGTTTGGCCAAACATACGGAGAGGACGGTATGAGTTGCACACAATGCTATAAGTGATCAAAAAGTTTTGAACCCCTGCTGTATGTCGGTTGATGACGATCCCAAGCCTGGATGACCTTCCCCGTCATCAGATCATGACTGCCGAATTCGTGCTGTGATTCATGGAACTCGTCTTTCAACTGTTCGAGAGGTTGTTGACGAGGTGGGCATAGCATAGGATCATCACTTCAACTTTTGGGTGACAAACTTGAGATGCGTCGCGTTAGTGTAGAATTCGTGCCGCGTCAGTTGACTGACGATCAGAAGTAAAATCGGGTTGAATTCAGTCGGAAACTGCTTGCCACTGCCATTGACAATAAGTACTTTCTTAAGAACATGATAACGGGCCATGAGACTTGGGTTTATAGCTGTGGTATTAAAACGAAGGTGTAGACTTCGTGGTGGATGAGGAAAGGGTCTCCTCCGAAAAACGCATTATTGTGTCTGCCCGAGACCAAGATGCTTTTATTTGTATCCGTCCTGTATTGGTGCCAGGTGATCAGCTGGTAAACAGAAATGTCTAACGGATAATTCTATCGCTTTTGATGGATTTTGTGCGTATTAAGTGGCTTGGACTGTGAGAAAACTAGACTGTGATGTTGCATCCTGACTGTGCACCAGCTCATGCATCGTTCCTTGTTCGCAACGATCTAGCAAAACACCAAATTCCCATTGCGTCCCATTCACCGTATTCTGCGGGCTTAGCCTCAGCAGACTCTTCCTTGTTTCCTACGTTGAGAGGATGTGGTTTCGAAACGATAGAGGGGATTTAGGACAATACGACATGAAACCTGCGCGCCATCCTAGGAAGTATGTTACTTGGAAGCCCCGTTGAAAACGATGTATTGTTAGTGGAGGGGACTACTTTGAGGGACACGGTGCTTAACATGTTGTACAATGAACAATACTGGTGTTGTAGTAAAAGTTCGCTTTCTTTTTGAACACAGAAACATTCGGACAACTATCGGCAAGTAAAACACAGGCACCCAGCTTGAACCTTCTGGGTACAACGTGTTGAATTAAAGTATTGAGGAAGAATTCAGCTCCACAAAGGAACGGTGCAATTGTCGGGCCGCAGCAAATTTATTGGCTGCTTCTGCCGTTCTCCGATACGTGCTTCTTGCAATCCATTCGCGTGTTGTGAGCTTTAAGCGTCCGCAGTTGGGATTTCACAACGGCGGAGCATTATGGCGTAGTGTAATGAAGACATGTGAAGGCCGATTGAATGCCTGTGGCGAATGTTTTGACATCCGAAGTTGGTGTCCCTGTGTCAATGATCGAGCTACTTGGGGTTTTCTTTCAAGTGTATCTGGGCCTTGTATACAATTAATTATCGCACTCTCAATGCAAACAACGAACACTCAAAAGCTTTACATCCAGTTTGCGCATTTTTCGCTTGTCGCCCTGCCTCTTGCGCAACTTCACACCGCGTTTATTTCATTCTGTATTCTTTTGCATCAACCTCGACCGTTACATATTTCGGTGAGTTTGCTCTTTTATGGAGGTTACTTTCTGGTCGGTTGTCAACGTCTCATCCTTACTTCATCATTTCACAGGTCATGGCTACTCCTTTGAGCTTCTACACGCAGAATATGCTCGCAGACTATTTCCAAATGCAACTTATTGTTACATTCATATTATTCTACTGACACGTATACCCTCGCGTTGAACTGTGGCACTGAGCGAAACACTTTACTTTATTCACTGCAATCTCTAACCCACGTTTTTTGTATCTTTGTAGCATACCGTAACTTGAGATTGTCTTCTATTTTGGACAGTTAACCCACAACCTATTTCGAGATTCACGTTTTTATCATCAGTTCTTCCCTTTTCCTTTGCTGTGTCATTGTCTACAGTTTACGCGTCTTTCCGATGACCTTTTATTTTGGCCGTCGAAGTTCCCTTTGATGTTAACCACTAGTCTTGAATTTTCATGAACTTGATGGATAAAATGCACTGATGGAGCAATTTTCAATCAGAGTTCTATCATCGTCTTCAATTTACCTTACCAAAGTGTTTGTTACGTAATAGAGCCTTATCCCAAAGTTTCTTGCCTACTTAGTCGCACGCAACTAGCATTCGGTCGGCTGCGCTCCTTAGTCTGGTATGTTGCATCCAGGAGTCGGCCTGTGCCCCAAAAGGTTTCTCACCTGTGTTGTACTCCCGAGTTCCTCGGTTCGGATCCGCGTAGGCAGTGGAGCAATCGTTTATAGCGGGTCTAAAAGCAAATGCTTGCAAAATACCGTGGGATGATTAGGGTAAGGAACTGTCAGTAAACGAACGCACGAGATACCTGACTCACCAAGAGGTTTGGGGTAGCACATGTATGAGCGTGCCTGTTTGGAATTCAGCATGGCTGTGACACCGTCCATTGTTTGCTCTGCACTAATGTCATCTGACGGTCGTGGGCTATACCACGTAGTGTAAATGTGTCAGGGTCTCGTGAATGCATTTTTTGAATAGTGCTAAGGTGGGGGCATTAACTGGATGCATCGAAAAGGAGTTTCAGGAGTGACACTCGGAGAAAGTTTCGTAGGCATTCCAATCGGCTGTACTGCGTGACGAACTAACTGATGGCCCTTCAGAGCAGTATACCCAGTCCTCGCGCCATTGTTGGTGGTCGCGCGGCAACGAAGCATCTGTACTGTGTGCGGGCGTACTGTTGATGCCTTTTCTATACAGGAACTCGTGACACGAGCACTGATTGCTGATTACCAAGGATGGCATTAAACCTATGGTGCTTTGCACCATTTAACCTATGACAGATGAGAACTGATATTTTTCTAAACGGAAACTACATTGGTTATCATTATACAGTCTGAGTTTGCGCGAAAGGACCTTTTACTTTGGGAATACTGTCGTACTGTTACGTGCATCTAAGCTGAGAAGCTGTCATCGTATATCACTCTTGGGCCGATGCAGGATGAAGTTTATGTTTGAAGAAAAAATCGTGGTTGTATGTGGGTTGGGATACTGCCAGGGCGCCCAGACCTAGACAGGAGGATGATTACGGTCCTCATCCAAAGCCTTTGGCTCAAAAGCCTGTCCGCAAGACAGCGGGAAGGTGACAATGGTTTAATTTTAAAGAAATGGATGCCATGCAATTTCAACCCCCCAACCTGGAGGACCAGGAAACTGAGTTTGTCTGACCTTTTACAATTGCCCAATCTGGTAGGAATGTCTCTCAATATGCCCACAGACACCACCCAATATAGCTTAATCAGTCAGGGAGGTACGCAAACCGTCCTACCACGTTAAGGTCCAGTCTCCTTGCGACGGCTGATTGGGACGAATAGATTATAGTGACAATATACAAGAAGGGCAGTCGCACTGACTGTTCTAACCACAGGGGTATTAGCTTACCGCTAGTTGTGACAAAATTACCGGCCTCGATTCTCGTTCGTCGCCACACTGTGGAACGAGAATCTCGCATTAGGGAAGAGCAGGCAGGTTTCCGCCCAGGACGGGGATGTATAGACCATATATTCACTTTGCGGCAGTGCTAGAGCAGCGCCACGCATACCGCAGATCGACAATAGCTGTGTTCCTTGATTTCAAAAGTGCATTTGATTCAATCGATCGGTGCATCCTGTACGAAATACTTGCGCGGAAAGGTGTTCCCACGAAATATGTGAACATGCTTCGTGCTCTATACTCGAACACTACAGGTCGCATCAGGGTCTACGGTGGTTTATCGGATGTCTTTCCGACCACAAGTGACGTTCATCAGGTTTGTCCGATTTCCCCATTTTTGTTCAATTTCGTCGTGGATTCTATCATGGAGTGCTCCCTTACGGAATCTCAAGATGTAGGCGTTGAAATGCTGCCTGGTGAAAGATTAATAATATAAATAATAATGTTTCAGCTGTACGCCGTAACGGCGCTTCGCTGCCGTGCGACCACCACCAGTCGCTTGTGAGTATACCGCGAGGACGCCCACCCCTACGCGGATTCGAGCCAGTGACCTTATGGTTGCAAACCAAACGTGCAGACCACTCGGCCACCGGCCGGACGATATCGTCTTGCTTTTCGACGATGTTGTGGCAGCACAATCAACCCTGAATAGCCTGTCTAGAGTGGTCCCATTATTTGGCATGCGCTTTGCACCTTCAAAGTACAAAGTGTTGCTGCAGGACCACCACCACTTTTTATGACCCCTTGGCCCTTGCTAACGAGGAACTCGAGGTGGTTGATCAAATCACTTATCTTGGCAGCTGCATCGGCAACAATGGGCGCATGGAAACTGACGTCAGCTCACCCATTGCAAAGGTCAGAACTGCCTTCTTGAACCTGCGGCATCTTTGGCGACAGAGGGGTTTCCCTCCGTCTGGAAGACCGTGTACATAAAGCCAAGTTGAGGGCTGTTCTGCGGTATGGTAGTGAGGCTTGGCCCCTTCGGTCGGAAGATCTGAGGCACCTTCAAGTCTTTGATCATCGTTGTCTGCGAAGCATTGCTGAAGTCGGATGGCACCAGTGTGTCCACAACGATGATGTGCGTAGGCGAGTACTAGGTGGTGATAATCATGCTAGCTCCCTAGAACAACAGATAGCACTGAATAATTTGCTTTGGCTCGGGCACGTGCTACGTATGCCTGGTCACCGCTTACCTAGGAGGGCCTTGTTTAGTCTGCCTGGTGTAGGGTGGCGCAAAGCTCGCGGTGGATAGAAGTTGACTTGGCAGCGGGAAATGAAGTCACTGACGACCAAACTGGGTGCCGTTGGTCCGTCTCGCCTTCCGGGCTGGAGTCCACGTGACTCACCTTGTGCTTGGCTCGAGACTTTACAGGACATGGCTAGCAACCGACAACAGTGGCGCGTCTGCTGCCGTCTCCTGGTAGGATTGCCTGTTTAAAGTGTGTTTGGTGCTGAGTTATCTGCGGGGTAATGGCTGATTATGACGCGTGGCAGTGAAAGCCGCAAGGAAGCTGTCTCGCCGATGCCTCCTTATCTTTGCAGGATAGCCAGCTCTTTGTGACGGTATGTTGTCTACACAAGGTGTAGGCGTCTTGACCCTGAATGTTCGCTTAGGGCATTAAGGTTTTTAGCTAAGTCCCTCTTCTTTCCCTCATATTATTCTTTATTTCCTTGGTGATCATCGTTATATGGCAGCGAAGCATCATTTCAAATGGCTGATGTACTGCTGTTGTTGTTTTGTTTGCTGGATGATTGCTTGCTTCTGACACAGGTTACTGGTTCTTTTCAGTGGGTTCTTCGCAGTGTCTCCTGCTTCTAGTCACTACCTGTTATCAGGAGAGTATTAGCAGCTGCTGGTTATTGCTCTAGTGTGGCCTGATCACATGGGTCAGGTGCTTTTCGCGATTAGTGTGCTGGGTTATTTTTGAGTTCCGGTGCAGCATGGTCGCAACATGCGACAGCGTAGACGGCATGTGTTGGGTAAGCCATTCGTCCGTATGTGTTGCTTGATTTGGGATCCCACTGGCAAAGCTGTATTCATCGGTTGAACGAGCTTCAAATACTAGGAAAAGAGGTTGGCGTAGTCTGGCGAGGTCTAGAGAACGGCATAGACCGGTGTTATAAATAAATAAATATTTTATTCTCGAATTCGTCGACACATACCAACTCAGGTATGATCATATAGATACGATATCGGTGGTGGTACCACGCACATTGAGTTTCGTTGCAATGTCGACTATCATCTGGCGTTTCGCATCGACCAAGAAGTCGACATGCTTGCGAAAATCAATGCTGATGATGGCAAAGCGGACTGTAGCGACGATGAATACTCGGCGGAACGTGAGCCTAAGACCTAGGTCCAGAGTAAGCGACCGATGACCGTAGGTGACTATTGGCGGTACTTGGGCTTGTCGACAAAGAAGCGATAGGTTTACCTGGAATAGGAGGAAAGACGCTGTCTTCCGCCCCGGTACCAACTAAGAACTGGGTATCGGAATCATAAGCTCTAATGTAGATGAGACGAGTTTGGGCTTTGCCGACACCGTCAGTCGCCATTACGGGCCAGCCTGAAAGTTCCCTGCTACGTGGCGGAGAAACTGCATGGTTGCTCGCACTTACGAGCTTTGTTACCAAAACACTAGTGGTAAAATCAACACCTGAATAGGTACGCTTCGTGTGACGGGGTGATGAGCTAGAGCAGCTGCGCTGCTTACGGTCTAAGGAGAGTTACTTGACGGCGTTGTAGTGAGGCTATTTACGATGACGAAGCGTCGATTGCTGACGGATCACTAGTCGCGGATATCGCTGGGGCTGCGACGGGGCTAAGTCAAGTGAATGTTCCAACTTCGTTCGCTGGCTGATCTCGTTCGGTGACGCGGTCTGCTAGGTCTGCAACTGCCGCGAGAGGCAGGGCGCTTGCCACGGCAAGGATGGCCTATGTGTTTTTCGAAAGTCGTTGCATGGACAGTACGCGGAGAATCCCAGCGTCCATGCTGGAAATGCCTAGGAGCTTTTGCATCTGTCGCAACGCGGCCGAAGGCATCCTATCCCCTAGCTGCAGATCCCTAACCAGTTGCTGCAGTCGAACCTTGTCAGATTACGTGATTCGCTAAATAATGCTCTGTTTAAGAGTCTAGTTGTTCCTTACAGGAAGGGGTCAAAAGATGATGTCTCTCACCTGCAAGTTACTCACCCAAAACAATTTGTGTCAACGGAAGTGCCGTCAGTATAAGAAATGGACATTTTGTAGGTTAAACAGCCTTAAAATCCAACGCAAACTACCTAAAGAACGTGTGTTCTGGTACACTACAATTGTCAACGCATAGGAATCTTGTATCTCCTTCCTAATTGCCTGCAAGTTTTAGATTTCCCTTAGTCTGGAAGGCAAGCTGTTCCACATGTTTACGTACACAACTAAAAAGAAACAAGATCGCAGGCTTTTCTTCGCTCTTAGCGGGTAATGGAATGGCTCTTGTTTCAGAGGTTAGGTTCAGATGCACTCCTTAATTTAAGACGGGTAATATTACTGTGCAACATGTTATGAATTAGCTTATGTAAGAAGCACAAGTTAAGCATACTACGTCTTTTACAAAAGGGGATGAATGTTAAAATGTTCGCATCTTTGTCGATAACT